AGAGGAAATGCAGAGAACAACCAGAAAGAAGCTGCCAAAAAAGCTAGGGCAGAAATTTGGATCGGCCGCTCCGCTGTTCAGAGTGGCTGGAAATGCCTCCCTAGCTGCCTTCCTCCTGTCCTGAGTTGCTGCAAGCACAGGGAGCCTCCGTCTTGGATGTCAAAGCCTGTTCTTCGGCCACCAGAATAGCTAACCCTGGACTGCGTGAAGTGCACGGTCCCGCGACTGGGCATGGATCGAAAGCACCCTTTCTTGGCATCTCGGGGAAGGGCACCCACAGCTTGCAATGCTCCCTGCAGCCCTGGGTTGACCCGGTGTGCATGCAATATCCACGGCATCTCAGGGTGCTCATCAGGGTTGTCTTCTGCACCTTGACTTCTGGCAGGACACCAGGGTGATGGGCTCAGTGGACTCGGTGGGTCACTTGGCCGTAGTGAGCAGTCCATGGGCACGCACACGCTTGTCTGACTGGATCAAACTGGGGTCAGAGGGCCTGGCACGCTGCCCGGGCTCAGCTTCAAGTGGTTTCTCTTCAATCGGCTTCTAATCAATCGAATCTATCCTGAAATCAGCTTCATTTCATAGAAGGAAGGCTAGTGTCCGCACAGCTGTCACGAGAGGTTGAACGACCCCCTTTTGAAGCGTTCGTTTGGGCCAGCGTGACGTCACGCGCGCCCGAGCCGTGTCTGGGATGCCGGCTAGAAGCACTGCGGGCCTGCTTCTTCCCCCATCACGTCTTACCTCCTTGCCTAGAGCTGTGCTGCACGGACCGGAGGGATCTGGCATGGGAGTAGTTTGGAGCCGGCTTCCGCAGAGCCGTGCCGTGGTGCAGGCGGCCAGGCCTGGGTTGCAAGAGCCGGGTGCAGTGCCTGCCTTTGCCAACCTGCTGCGTGACCTCTGTGTCCCTTGAGCCTGTCTCAGGTGGGAAGACTCCCTTGACTCCACCCGAATCCTGAAAAAGACCCTCCACCGCACCCCACCAATGATACTGGAGTGCCCCAGTTTGCTGCAGCATCCCCGATCTCCTGTGGCAGGTGCATTGCCTGCTGCTTGGGAACGCTAATGCCTTCACCGCCGGTTCCCACCTGACCTTTGCAATTCCTCCCAGGTTTCTCTCTTCCCTCTGGTTTGGAGCACGTATCTCCGTGGCTGGCATCAGGCCTTGCTGCAAATGCAGCAGCTCCAGGCTTTCTGCCTGTTTCCTATCCAGCTGCCTGTAGTTTCTCCTGCTGCCTGGCTCCGGATGGCATGAAGACCTTGGTCTTTCCAGCTCGGGGTGAGATCGGTCCCTTCCTCTCCCCTGAGAACGGAGCTGCTCGATTTTGCAGGGCCAAGCCCATGGGGCTGTGTTTCACCCTTGCTCCGTGCATGTGTAGCCAGCCTTGACCCGCAGGGATTTCCCGGGGCTGCGTGGATCTGGTCCTGCTGTCATTTCCCCCCACCCCGTGCTCATTCCTGAACTTTTGAGCTGGAAAAACGTGTCCCCATCGGAGCTCTGCAGCTTTTGGACCTGCTTCCGTTTCCGGTCTGGCCTTTTGGTCAGTGTTTCCCTGATTTCCTTTAGGTTTTCCCAACTGCTAGCTGGGGACTGACTCAGCGGAAGCAGCAAACCCAGCTGCTTTTGGCAAGGGCTCCCGCGGGGGGGACGCGCGGCTGCGGAGGATCTGGCTGCGATTTAATGCACGCAGATAGGAGTAACCCCTGGCCTGCACTTCAGCTTGGCCCTATGACCCTGACCTCCCCAAAAGCGTGGCCTCTCTAACAAGCTGTCATTATGGTGCTGGCAATGTAGAGGAAGAGAGCAGCAGCTGGGCTTAACCCATCATTTTCCAAGGATCTTATCATGCCCTATGTTCCCCTGATCCCTTTTCTTTAATACCTGTTGCCTTATACTTCTCAGTGCATTGCTGGACCCCTAGAGATATAGGGCATGCATTTGGAGGTGGCACCTGCTGCTGGCTTTTTTTCCCTCTGCGACATGCTCCCAAGATGCAGTTACCTGCACTGATTTTTGCAACCCAACAGCGGGATTAATAATGTATATTCACTTGTTTTGGGGAGAGCGCGTGTGTCCCTGGATAGCCCACCCTGCTGGGAGTGAGGGCCCTTAGCTCTGCAAGCTGCAGAAACAAAAATGAAGGGGCTGTCTTTGCTTTGGAGAGTTGTCATCCCTTCCTACCGTCGAGGAGAGAGCATGGGGGTCTGAAGAGCTATTTATGAAGCACTTGGACAGTGGGTTCGCAACCTTTTTAATGCACGCAGATAGGAGTAACCCCTGGCCTGTGCTTCAAATGGACCTTCTCCTTCCCAAAAACGTGGCCACCTCCTGGATAGACTTGTGCTCCCTTTGGAAAATGCTAGTTCATAGGTTTTTTTTCTGGGCAGGGGGAAGAAAATAATGGAGCAGTTTCTCTTGCAGAGAACTCGAACCACAACTATGACTTCCTATTTGAAATAACCAGGTTTATCTTGTGAATCCTGCTTGCAAACCAAACAGGGCTCTCATTGCCTGGCGCCCTTGAAAGGGTCTCAGGGCACCCAGGGCGAGCGTGACTGGGCTAGGAGATGCCGGAGGAGCGGGCTTATTAAGAAGGCCCGGGCTCGTTTGGTACAGACCGTGCCCTGCAAGGGCATTTGTCCAGATGCCTCGAGACTCGCCTCGCCTGGTGTGGTACGTGTGTGCCTCCATCTCCTGTATCTCACAGCTGGAGATGCAGCCAGAAATTGCCTCCATCTAGGTGGTCACTGGAGTTGATCTGAACAGCCACGTCGTGTTTATATTGCAGATCTTGGGGGCTCTGTTTTGCTGGGTGCCCCTTTCCTCCCCCAAGGTGACTGGACAAAGGCTAGGAAGGGGGACAAAGGTGGAGGGGAGTCAAAATGACCTTGAAGGCCCCCGAGCAGCTCTGAGAACAGCACGGCCGTCTCCTTCCCGCATGCCCAGGGTGAATCCATTAGAGCACCGCATCTCTTGATGCTTTTTTTGCAGCCAAAGAGACCTGTGCTGGGCCTTGCTTGCTTGCCCTGCTGTTAGTTTTGTCGGCGCTCGCCTCCCTTGTGCACCGAGCCGGTGGCTGAGAAGGGGTTAATCTCATTGATGCTCTGAGCAAGTGGGAGTCCCTTTTTGGCGCAGGCCAGGGGGCTTCTCTTGCATGGTAATAGCATTGATGCTCCAGCTTCCCCTTCCCCCATGCCCGTGCCCAGTTGCCTTGGCTACCAAAATTAGCCCCAGCTGAGCCAGCTCCAGCCCTATTCAATTGCCTGGGAAGCCGTGACAGGCGGCAAGCAGCATTCAAACAGCCTGTGCAGCCAGGCATGGCGGCATTGTGAGCCGCGGGGACCTTCTCGCCTTCCCAACAGCCCATGTCCCAGCCCCGGAAAAGCAGAGAGTCGGGGTGACGGCAGGAGCTGCTGGGGTGCAGCGACGAGGACCCCAGCGCTGCGGATGGAGGGGTCTGGTGAGGCTGCGAGGAAGGTGTCTGGGGGGGGTGTTTCCTGGGGTAGATAGTGTGGCGTTTGTTCCCGGCAGCCTTGGAGGAAGGTATCATCAGGGCGACCAGGTGGGAAGCACTCTGGCCTGGATTTGCATGGTCGCCCCCTTTGCTGTCTGAGCTGGGGGTGCTTGGAGAGCATCGGCCCCATGCAGCTCTGCAGCCTGAAGGTCTGGGGGTCAGTGCAGAGGTGTCACCACTGCAGGAAACTCTTCCTGGGCTGTGGCTGCGGCTGGTGCGGGTTTGCGAGGGCTCTGCGGACGCCTGTGTGCTCGCTGGGGTGAATGGGAAGGCCCGGGCTTTGCACGGAGCTCGTTTCCCTGTGCAACGTTTTGATTCCTACCACAGGCCGATTGCAACTCCTGCCTGAGGGTTGCACAACTGCTCCCTGCCAAAGGGAGTGGTGTGACACAGGGCTCATCTTCGCTTGACCTGTCCGTCAAGGGCTACACCCAAGTCCTTCGCTCATGCGGTAGCGCTGACCTGGAGTCGGCTGGGCTGGCGGCGAGTTATCCCCGTTTGTCAGTGGCAATGCCCCTCGTACCCCCCGGCTGCAGTACTAGGGGAAAGTGCTGCCCTCGGGGCTCGCCCCACCTCTGCAGGGGGCCCAAGCCCAGTGTCCAAAACCCCCAAACTTGGGGCAAATTCATCTCCTTAACCCATTCAGGGCTGCTCTCATCCCTGGCCTTGCCTGTCGCCAGCATTTACCAGGCAGTCTGAGCAGCTCTGAACCGGCTGCGCTTGGTCCTGTTGCAGCCCCAAATTGGCTGCCTTGGTGCAAATGGTAGCATTGCCCTGCCCTCATTTAGGGGAAGAAGGCAGCTGGGACGGACAGGCCATGCCTGCTTTAATTGGGGGTTGTCGTGTGATCCCTGTGGCAAGCCCCAGCGGTAGCGAGGGTTAAATGTCACGGGTTGCTCACGTCAGAGGGGCTGAGCCACCGGGGGCTCAAAGCAAAAAATAAAAGGCCATTGAGTCCTAGCAGGGTCTTTCTGCCTGACCAGCAAGGACAATGTTCCCCGCCGGGCATCGTGCCAGGGGCCTGGCTTTGCATTTAATCGCCTCCAAGGGAGGGCACAGGCTGCTTTCCGGCTGGGCTTTCCACCCTCTTCCCTCCGCGAATCCCGCCATGTTGCACACTGGGGCAGAGTCGGGGGGCTGCTCCTGTCCCAGCCCCCTCCCCAGCCTCTGGTCTGCCTCCGCTGGCAAACTTGGCCTTGTTTGAAGTTGCAAATGCTGGCGAAAGCGGGTAGAAGAGGTGCACCCCTGGGGTGCCGTTTTAGGGGCAGGGGTGCACTGCTACCTCTGACCTGGAGAATGACCTGCTGAGCCCTCTGAAGACAAGGGCTCTATAGGGTTTCCCCCCAACTTATCATGGGGTCTCGCCATAAGCGAAGCCCTGTGAGATGCGGGGGGCTGGAGAAGGGCACAGGATCCTTCCCCTCCTGCCCTAGGAATGGGTGCTGGGGGTCTCTTCTCAGCAGCTGTCTCCTCTCCTTGCATCCCCAGGAAAGCAGCTGCCCAGGCGCCCGGCGGAGCATCCGGTTTCGTAGCGAGAGTGAGATGGCTTCGTCCGACCCAGCCCCGAGCCCTGCAGTAGGTACTGTACCCGCAGCTGTCTGGGTGTGGGCGGCCCTGGGGGTGTGGGCACTGCTTTCCTGGGGGGATTCCCTCTGCCCACCCCAGTTCAAGTCCTGCAGGAGCGGGTGCTGCTGATGGGCACCTTAGTTTGCCTTCCGTGGGGCTTTTCTAATGCAAAGCAGCCCTCCACGCAGGCCGAGGGGGATGGACTGTCATCCTTCCCTTGCACAGCTTGTGGGATTGTGCTGGGCGGCCCCGTGCAGTTGTGATGGCTCCCCCTGCACTGGACACCCGCTCGCTGTCCTCTGTGCCCAGAACCACCCCGGCCTGCCTGGCCCCTGACAGCAGGGTCCCAGGGATGGGCTTCGGCAAGACAGGCGGGTACCGGGCTCTAATGCATGCCGACATGGATGGGGAGCCCCAGAAGCTGCAGTGTTTCAGCCGTGCCTCAGCAGAAGACCCCAGTACCCCCAAACTACAGCCTGGTGCTTTAGGGGAGGTGCACGGGTGCTGCCTCTTGGCTCTTCTATCGTGTGCACAGGCGTTGAGGACAGAGACACGGCGCTCGTGGTACAGACAGCAGGACCCCGTGTCATCCCAGCTGGTGCTGGTGGCTCCCTAGGGAAATCTGGTTGAATCCCAGGCCGTGCTTCGGGCTCCGTAATGGGGGCAGCTTTGGGGAGCTTCTGCCCTGCCGGAGGTACCAAGAGGAGCTTTCCCTTGTTGTGCGGTGGGGAGCGACCAAAATGCACTGCATGAGACCTTTGTGTACTTGTTGGGCAGGAGGCAGCTGATCGCCCAAAGAGCTGAACCTCTGTTAGCACGAGCCCTCCTTTCCTGAGCTACGGGACCAGAGTCAGGGCAGGCGCTGGATGTAGAGCATCCATCTGATCCATGACAGACTTGTGCGGGGGGAGCGCTTCCTTCCTTTGCGCCTTTGTTTTCCCTGTGCAAAATCAGTCTAGTTTGGTTAGAGCACTTGAGAGGTGCTGATAGGAAGGGCGATATGAGCTGGGGGCTGTTGTTATCCTGATCATATCATCATCATCATCATCGATAGGCAGAGGCAATAGTAGTCTGACTTGCAGTACATGCCGTAACCATCGGAGAGCCATGCGTAGCGTGGGTGCCCCAGTGCCGGCACGTTGTCTGCTGGGGCTGGCTCCAGGAGAAAGCAGGTGAAAGATGCTCCAGCTGCTCTGGGCTTTCTTGTGCCTGTGCCCCCACCTGTGCCCACCTCTGCCTCTCCTTGCAGGGGTTGGCCTGGCGCAGGGCGCCCTGGAGGCCTCGGCCGAGGGGGAGGAAGAGCTAGGGGAGGCGTTCGATTTGGAGGAGAGCGAGGAGGAGGAGGACTCCATCGTGGGGGCGAGCAGCACTAGCACCGAGCCCAGCATGGGAGCTACCTTGCAGGCCCCAGCCCAGAGGCATCAGTCGGGAGTGGGGGCTGAGCCCCCGGCTGCAGCCGAGGAGAGGGATGGAGCCCCCCCGGCGGGGCAGGCACCGCTCGCCGACTCCGACTCCAGCATCAGCGCCAGTGAGTAGGGCGCTGGACCCATGCAAAGCCAGGGCCTCCCTGCAAGGTTGATCCATCTCCCCCTGCCCTGGGGGGGATTAAACCCCATGCGGGGGGAGTCAAGCCTTTTGTTGAGGTCTCCATTGATCAGATTGGGAGATTGCCCCACTGCTAATCACAGCCATGTGATGCAAATCTGGGTGCATCTCCTCTCAACTAGACCTTCCTTGCCCTCCCGGGAGCCCTTCCCCAGGAGATGGAGATGGCTCCGTTGTGTCTGTAGGTCTGCCTGGGGTGGGATGGGGCTGGACCCATGCCACAGGAGATGCCCCCTCCCAAACCTCCACTTCCTATTCTCTCGGCCGTCCTAGGAATTGGGTGCTCACCTTCCAATTTGTACCTGGAGCTGCCCCTACAACTCGTACTGTATCTGGGTTGATGGACTCTGAGATGCTGATTTGATTTCTTTCTGCTTTTGTTTTTGACAGACTCGCTCGCAACACAGCCACCGACAGAGTAAGTGAGTCTGGGCTTGGTGAGCCAGAGCCCTTGGGTGTCTGTTGGGTGATGCCAGGAGGGGGTCTCGGAGGGCAGGAGTTGTGGGGGGAGAATGGGCATGGATCCATTGGGTTATATCAATTGATATAACCCAGTTTGTTTGCCGGTAATGGAGAGATCAACTCATGCGGTTGTTGCATCTTGTGAACTGGGGGGCAATCAAGTCCCAGGCCAGCCTGGCGTGCACTGTACTGATCACCTCCTCTCCCCTTTTCCTGCTTGTTTCCCCATATTTGGGCTTCAATAGCTTCCTCCCATGCTAAACTTGATGCCTAGGAAGTCAGTCTGTTGCTCTCCCAGACGGATCCTGGGCCATACAGAAGTGCCATTCTGCCACGCACGGACATGCAAAGGTGCCTCAAATCTCTCACCTGGGCCTGGGCTCTGCAGGGTGGCTCCTCTGTATAAAGTTAGAGCAGTCTGGAGGCTGCTCCGAGTTAAGCCAGCTACCACAAGCACGAGGGGTTGATATGGCCGGAGGGATGCTTGTCTGGGTGTGTGATGGGAAGGGCACAGGGGTGAAGACTGAGTGGGTTTTGCTTCTAGGAAACCTCTATGTGGAGTGAGGATTGGTGCTTGGGGCCTTGGCACTGACGTCCTGGCCTGAGTGACGGGTGACCCTAGTGAAGCATTTGCTGGGCTTCCCCACCATGCTGAGGGGTCAGGGGTGGATGCTGGTGTGAGCTGACCTAGACTTGCCATTCATCGGTGTTGTCTCCTCTCTGTATTCTTGGGGTTTTGCCTCTGCTTTCACTGGGCTTCTCCAGATCTCAGCAGGCCGGCCATCTGATACCACTGCTGTCCCCTCCTCCTGCCGAGCAAGTCATCTTGGAAGTGGGGCTGCTGCTCTTCCCTGCCCCCAGGTCTCCAAAAGAGAGGCCCAGTCTGTGTCCTGCTGCTGCCCAGCTCGTGCCTGGCCAGTTGCATTTCTGGTGGGGAAGGGGTAACTGCTCCCTCTCTCCCTCCTGCAAACAGGTTTCTGAACCTCCTTCTCCCCAGAGTCAGCTCTGGCTGCACATTTTGGGCACAAAGGGTTGTAACCAGCAAGCCCTCCCCCCGACTCCCCCTCCCCAGTAACAGAGAGCACTTCTGGATGTGACATGGCAGGTACCAGACCCATTGCAGTGCCCTGGAGGCAGGTGCTGAGGCTTTTTGCATGCTGCTTGGTGCAGGCCAGCTCAGCCTTTGGCACTGGGGCAGCCGCACCGCTCTTGGCTGGCACGTTAAAGCTGCATCATGTGTTGCCACTTGGCTCCAAC